GTAAATTCTTTTGGTGTTTTCATTGCAATTGATTCAACTTGACCTTGAAATATAAGGAAATTTTTTGCTTTTGGTATAATACCCAAATTTTCAAGTTCTTCTGTATATTCAGCTGCTGATAATTGATGACCATTAACACGATATTCTGATGTATTACCGATAATTAAACGTTGAAAACGTTTTTCATCTTCATTATTTTCACCTTCATCATCAGTTTTAATTGAAATAAATATTAATGAAACTGATGCACGATTACTAACTGGTTTATTGATTGGTGCACCATGAATTAATTCCTTTGTAAGTTTTAAATAATGAATATCTTAATTATAATAAAATAATTTCAACATACGGATAATTTTCTAACACGTAAACTTTTTGTTGGTTCACCAAGAACAAAACTAATGGCATCCATAAGATTTGATTTACCTAAAAGATAAAAATAAGAAATTTTCGAATTGGTTTTTGTAAAAATAAACCTGATCCATTGGGTCCAATTATGGCTGTAAATTTTCGTAATGGACCGATAACAATATGCCCTTTATACGATTTGAAATTATCAATTTCGACATATTTCAAAAAGTAACTCATGGTTTCTTAACAATCTAAAATAAATCAATATGATATATACTTTCAAAAAAATGAAAGTAATGATTATAGTGAACAAAGACAGTTAGATTTAACTGTATTGAAACAAAGAATTGTATAATAATAAAGATTAATTCAGTTATATAATAAATAAAAGTTAAACATTTAAAGAAAATTTTTCATGAAACATTAATTTAGATGAACATACTTTTATTTCAAGTTTAATAGAGAAATATTAGAGATATTTAATATATGATATTGTGTTGTATACTATCGACATCTAGAAATTAAGTAAATAATGACTGAAATGGTAGAGTATATAGAATTTATTTAGCCCTTAACGATCGAGGGACTTTTTAATGACTATGAAAAGAAGTTGATCATACGAATAGAGATCATGGACCCTCAGTATGCTCATACTACGGATGTAAAAAATTAGTTTATTTTACTTCTAGAGATCACGTAATATCCCTTGGAAGAAACATTCAGTCTTAGCGGCATACAATTAAATTAGTATTTTTTTGAAACCAGAACGAATTCTGTCTGTATAAATGATTCTATT